ATTTTAATGCGCATGTCGGAGTAGACGCTGAAAAGGGGAACAGCATGATTGGTAAAAACGACCCTGACGACCTTAACAGTAACGGCTTGAAGTTGTTGCGGTTGTGTGCAAACAACGGATTGTCCATTATGAATACTTTCTTCGAGCATCGAAAAGTGCATTGGTACACCTGGTACTGCGAAGCTTGTGCACAGGAGTCGATCGATTTGATAATCGTATCGTCTGACTTAAGAAGCTCGGTAATGAATGTTCTCACAGAGAGACGCACAGCTTCCAACCGATAATCACCATGTTGTTGGCACGCTACGCTGTAAGAATTGGAGTACTGTTCGAAGATCTGGTGGCAGAAGCATCCAGAAAATCAAATTGGTAACATTTCTTCAGCAAATATGAGGCCGAAAGTTGCAAACAACATCACAGGTTTTTAATAGAGGCGTATTTTGGGCTACCGTTGAATTCTGCAGGTTCGGCTGCCGCCTGGAGGAAGGCTGTATTGAAGAGATGGCTTTGAATCAGCGCCTTCAACTCGCATGCGATAGGTGGAAGCGCGCAGGGCAGCGACGAAAGCCAAAGCTGATTCCTGGGAAAACGACGGTGAAATATTGGAGTCGAATTTCCAGATGTCAGACGAGGTATTCTGCCAAACCATTCGCGACCTCCGAGGAAAAACGAGGGCTGTTTAAGAGTTCTGAATGACAAGTCTGGACACTCTCTTATCGAAAATGAGCGCATTCATCAGCATGGAGAGAGTAATATGAGTAAATCCTTATCCGCGAGCAGCCGCGGGAAGACTCGCCTGAAGAGCAGCAGCAAATGGGTAGTATCTTTGTAAATGATATACAAACTTTGAAAAGATTGAAAATCGGAAACGCTTCAGGAATCGATAAAATCCGTCCTGAAAGGTTTAAGGTGTTAGACAAACAGGGCAGATGCTGGCTTTCTCGTTCCGCTGAAGCTGCAGTATCTACGAGGAATACACCAACGTACTGGAAAATGAGGGTTTTAATGACTCTATTCAAGAATGGAGATCATAGGAAGTGTTCCGGTTAACAGGGCATTACATTATTGACCATAACGAGTAAAGTATCCGCGAAGATGCAAGAAAGGAGGTACTGCGGAATTACTGACTCCAAGATACAAGAAGAGCAGTGCAACTTCCGGCCATGTCGAAGCACCCCTGACCATATATCTGCTCTGCGCCAGACTGTTGAGAAATCGTGGGAGTATGCCCGTCCCGTGTACGTGTTTTGTTGACTTAGAAAAGCCTATAATCGGATCCCATGAAACAGTCTGTGGTCATGCTTGAGAGCATGCGGGGTAGATGGCCAGCTGCTAAGGGCCATCAGTCACTGCATTCTGATAGCAGGTGCTGTGTTAGAGTTAATGGCGTTAAGTCGAAACCGTTCAAC